ATGTAACATGTTGTTAAAAAAAATTAATTTGTATCGGGTATTATGGATGCTGGGTGCCTCTGGGATTTCAAAAACAGATTAAAGTAAAAAGTTAAGCATCAAGTACACTGAGAGCTGTGAAAGGATACTGCAAGCCAAAGCAATACTGAAGCAATTAAATTTATTCAGTATAGCACTTTTAAACATCATCTTCTGTAACACATTTATTCTGTTTTCTCTTTTTTTATCATTAACCCCACTACATCCTGTTTTTAAATTGAGCTGCTCAGAACACGAACTATCCTGCATGTTTGTTCAATACTTCTGAATTGGTGTTCCGTAGAGTGACAAGTATTTTTGTGGTGCTTTCTAAATGATAAGCAATACTGATTAGTCTCCCCACTAGTATCTGATTGGTGTGTACCTGGTTGGTTTTCAGAAGGAAAATAACTTAAGTATGAATACCTTGAGTCGAATCAACAGCAGATGCAAGAATCAGTGATGTCGCTGCTGTGCTTGTCTTCTTTGCATGTCCTGCTGACATCTTGATGTGCAGGGAGGGGACTGAGCAGAAGAGGTGTCACTGGGGCTTATACAATAAGGGTGAACCATTATGCCAAATGCAAATAAGTATCTTTGCAAATTTTCCTATAATAACAGCATGGAGCTATAAGCCTTATCACACAGATGGAAAAACTTTCAAGAGAAACGTATCAGTTTTAAAGAAGCTGAATTTCTACACATGCCATGGAGTCTTTCTCAAGGCTAGGTGCAGATTATTACTGCTGAGGTGCCTGTGGCAGTTTGGCAGTTTAGGTGGGAGACACAGAGAGCATCTCCTGGATAAAACTGACACAAATAAGCAGCCTGAGAAGCTGTGCAAGCCCTCTCCTGTGGCAGCTGCCTGCCTGTCACAGACAATGTCAATGAGTGGGGGTTGAGCTACACCTCTTCAAAAAGCTTTGTTGAAACAAACAAATAAAATGCCTATTACCTGCACACTACCACATAGATAAGCCTGGGGAAACAAATTATGTAAGAGAAAAATGTTCTAAATGAACCCCAACAGCTTAACCTCATTTTTTGTAGCTGTTTATAAAGAGCTTTGTGGATGTACTATTGAGGATGATTAAAGGATATTTTTGCATCCCCAAATTAGGTAATTCTTTGATTGGAAAGGCTAAGGAAATAGTTTTAGAGTTAAGGACCTTCAGCTCCCATAATTGTGAGCAAGCTCCAGTGCAGAAATCTCGCTGCCTATGTTCTGTCCCTGTATTTTATGGCAGACAAGGTCTTCAACTACTGTATTGAGCCATGGCAGCCACAATAATAGAGTTCAGGCACTAAAACCTGCTTACCTTGGTGCCACATCAACAGTCTAATGCTGTACCTGGCTCCTGGAAAGGCCTGAGCATTTTTAAAATGCCAACAGAAGTCCTCCCCCTGAGCAGACAAATCCCCTTACCCTTCCCCCAAGTTTTATTTTTAAGTGCCAGCAAATAGCTTGTAATTGTCAATGAATAGAAGCATTACTGAAAGACAGTATGTTGCTTCCTTGAAGGTAAATAATTTACTGAAATCTTGGCTTTAGGGAGATGACTTTATAAACTGCTTTTGCTATTTCTTCAGTACAGTATATGCAGATTAGCTGTGGTTTGTAATCTGCAAAGGCGTTATTGTTTGCATTATCCACATAAACCTTCCAGCATCTGTGCATTTCATAAGGGCAAAAAACATTCCTGCCTATTACAAGAACAGACTATTGTAATAAACTCATGTTATGACAGACTGTAATTACTGCAAGCAGTCTCCCAAAGCCTACAGCCAGGGTGTTGCACTGAAACACGAGTATTTCCAGCAGCCCAGAGAGACTCGGCAGTACCATCGGGCTGCCCAGCCAGGCGCGTTTGCCCGGCCGCAGGGAGGGGGCCGGCAGCCCCGCTCCAGGGCAGAGCTCGCTGCCTTCTGCCCGGAGCCGTGCGAGGCCGGGCGGGGCTGTGGCCGTGCGCCCCGGGGCTGTCCGAGCGGGGCACACCGCACACAGCCCGGCTCCGCCTGCTGCGGGCACCAGCAACTGGGTGCTCCCACCGAACAACTGGGACGCGAAGCACTGGCCGGGCAAGTTGAACTTTCCAAAATCTCCCCCCAGAGCATTCTGAAGCTGTCGGAATGATTCTCTGAACTCGGCACACACAGGCGTCCTGCAGAGATCTGCAAAGATCTCTCTCTGCTGGTGCTTGACGATTGCAGCAGATCGAGCCACGAAACTGCTCTGATCTCGGTTAAAATCTTAGAGGGGTTCTTGTGGCATGCAAATAGTGAGCAGAAAGGCTAGCTGCATGATTTCTGCTCAGCCATGAAGTTGTATGGTATGTATGGTAGTTAGATTTCAATTTGATGGCATTATCTCTCACCTACGCTTCCAAATTAGAAATTGGGCTAAGAATTTGCTCCTCCAGACAACTGTTAGACTTCTGAAAAGCACTTTTCCCCGTGAAATGGATTTTAAAAAGTGCCTGACAGAAAAACAGTACAACCTGGCTGCATTAAATGAATTAAAATTTTCTTAATTAATAGCTCTCAAAGAACACGATTTTAAAGGCTTTATTATGTAAAGAAGCCATTTGCAATACTGATTGGCTTCACCTTCAATTTCCATGAATCTGTGACTGTTTCAAGGGCCTGTAGTCTTTTCTCTGGAAACTTCTCAGGCTGTAAATCCATGACTACTAACACTGGATCCGTGTTTGACTGGATCTCCCAGAAATACATGTTTGATTCAGATCAGGTGTGGCGCAGGATCACATTTCTGTGTAATCACCCCAAGCACGTTTCTGTTGCCTCTCTATGCTGGCCCGGCTGGTGAAAATCTCGAGGAGGTCAGGCATGGATCCTGCAGATGCTCACCAGTCAATTGAACCCATCAGGGATTTTCTGGTGCTATCTGAATTGTCAGAGTGAGTTTATACTATATCAGTACTTTGCAGATGGGTTTCTGGAGTTTGTGATCCCAATCAATATGCTTCAAATCCAGACATACACAGCTTTTTTCATACCAGCAGTAACAGCTTTCAGTGTAAAGGCTGTATTTCTCAGCCCTCTGACCTCAGGGCAAGTGTATTGCTTTGTCCTGCCATGGCAAGGTTGTACAGAAAAAAGCCCCCAACCAGTCAAACCCTGTGTTGCTGCTTGATACTGTGAGTGAAGTACTACAAATAATATAGAAATAAGATATTTCCTTTTTGCTTATTTTTATTTGTTTTGTTCAATTTTTATTATGTGGGACTATATCTTTCAAATACCGTTGAGTCAGCTCTTTTCCCTTACTGCTCCCAGAACAACCAAGAAGGAAAATAAAACAACCTCCCCCATGAGGGGGTTGATTCTCCAGTAGAGGAAATGTTTTATATATGTTTCATGTATGCTACATTCCACTGATGTTCAACTAAGTGACACACAAAAGACACATGACTGACACAGGAATGGGAGTGGACAAAGCAGGAAAGAGGCAGAAGAGGAAAGGAGTGATGGATAAAAGTTAACTTGTTCCTAATGAAAGATGGAGACTGGGTTTTGTGCAATGGTTTGAGCAGAAGCTCTTTTTGCCTGCTGGACTTCATTGGAAGCTCTCCCTCTGTGTGATGAAGCAGTACACGTGATCCCAGACTGGTTCTGGAGGGTGGCTGAAGAGGTTGAGAGAGGACCAGGAACCCCAGGGTGTGTTAAATCAGGAGCTGGCACAGGTGCTGACCTGCCCTGTGCAGGGGGGCTGGGAGCATGCAGCTGCCCACAGCCACCCACACCTGCCATAGGTGAGGCACTGCTGCAGCTGGGAGCTGAACTGGGTTTCTCCACCCTCTTTTTCTAATGGCTACATGTCCCTCCTCATCACTGTAATGTGCCACTCGTTCCATTGCTGCATGCACTGTGAGCTGCTCATTGCCTCTCCTGCTCCACGTGTTTTTATAGGCCTATCAACAAACTGTGATAAAAAAATCAATCACACACCAAGAGGAAATTTTATCAACGCAGTGAGGGGTGCTGGTTCTGAACTAAACAAATAAAACATCTCTTATATAGTTCTAGGGAAATAGAGCAGAGGGCCTAAGCCAAGGTGAGGGTAATATTCACAGATATGAATCCTTAAGCAATACCTTAAAGCAAACATGTATAAGGTAAAATGAATATTATTATGCTTTTTAAAAAATGAAGACTATCAGAGTTGGTTTTCTTTGGAGAGACATAAGTTAGGAGACTCTAGCCTTCATAAATATATTTTCTTTCTTTTTATGTTGTCATAGTTGTACTGACTAAGGATTACTGAGAAGTTTTACTGTTGGTGTACATGTATGAAAGACATTTTGGATAATGACATATATTTATGTACCAAGACATTCATTATGCAGTCTAATTATGAAATTCAAATATTAATTATGCCATTCATGATGCAATTATACAATGACATTTATTCAATATACATGCATATATATATATATACACACACACACATATATATCTGTGTCAAAGAGAAAATTTTAACTTCCAAAATGAACATTTTGGACAGTAAGTAGTAATTTCTTTTATGGGGGCCTATGCCACACCCAACCACAATCGGTGATATTAAAGAATGCTCCGCCTATTTAAAATTGGCATTCTGAGAAGAAACAAAAAGAGACATAAAAAACATAACTGAGATTCTCTTGCAGCTGAAATACAATTAAATCCACAGTTGCTACTGGCGTCATATCTTCTAAACAGAGTGAAAGACAGATCTATGTTCTGTCATACCACACGACAGTGGAACTGCAAAGAGAACCAAATTTCTTCTGTTTCAAAGGAAAAGCTGAGTCATGTTTGTGTTCACTCAGGAAGGGCTCTGGCTGGGAAAGAGCCGAGGCAAATGCAAGCTGGAGTGGTTTCCTACAGCTGAAAGACTTCTTACAGTGGGTGTAGGGAAGTGAACTGGAGCTGGTGTGAATATAGATGAGCTTTTAGATACTTCCCCTGCTGGCCTGACTGATGGCACCAGCAGCATGTCACAGCCTAGCTGAAGAGACTGTCTCTCAGGAGAGGATGCTGTACAGAACTTGCACTACAGATGCATAACAATTTCAGATGGTGATGTCCCTGATGGGTCAAACGGCCGTGAAGGAAAGGGGCACAGCGTGCATGGTGGGTCACTGAGGTGAGTGTTATCAGCCTTGTGCTCCCTGCAGGTGTGCATGAGCTCTGCCTTGCCCCAGCTGAGCGGGGCTGCGGGAGCTGCTCGGGTGACACAAAGGCACAGTGATCCCTGAAGGGAGTGTCCTGCTGCTGTGTGCCTCCTCGCTGACCCCCATACAAGGATCTCCATTTCCCTGCAAATGCACACAGACACGCAGAGCCATGCTGCCAGAAACATGCCCTCAGCTTTACTGCAGTGCATAAAGGTTTTATGTGCTTTATCCATAAATCTCACTTTGTTAGCTCTCTCTTTTCAGTTCTCTGTGGGGGAAGGCTGCCTAGCAGTCATGCTGCAGAAGACTTGTAGCAGTACAATAAAGTAAAATTTTTGCCTCTGAGAAGCTGGTTCAGTATTCTTAAGGTACCAAAACATTTTCCCACACAATCTTTTAGTTTTAGGAAGTCAAAGAATTTCACCTGTAGATAGAGAAGGTATAATGCAGTATGTCTGCATTAGATACCACACAAAAAGAAAGAAGGGATGCATCTGAATCTTGGTTGAAATGGCAGGAACTTGAGCTGATATTTCAGTAACTATTAAAACCCTATCCTTTTTGGTTTTTTTAAACTGGATTAAATTTCTGATAGTATTATACTGTGAAACTTGATTGTTAAACTGATAAAGTAAGTAGAGAAATATGAAGTTTCGTAACAGGAACAAATTCTCCACGTTAAAGAAGAACTTAGAGAATGAGTTACAAAAAAGACTGTTTCCAGCTCAGTAAGACTTTGATATATTTTGGTGTGATTTATTACCTGGACGAATTTGATGCCTGATATTAAACTCACCTGTTCACCACACTGTAAATACATACACAAAACTCTCTTTCTTTTGCTTCCTGTTAGCCATCAATTGCATTTGGATTGCCACATTCATAAAAATTCTCAGATCTGCGCTTCAGCTATGTGATTTGTGGGGCCTTCTCCCAGACAGGAGCACAGCACTTTAACATGTAGGGACATGAAAACAGCACGGATGTGGCAGATGTTGCTGAAGAAAAGATGAATGTCAATTGCATTTTCCCACAACACCCTCATCTGTGTGCTCTACACATTGACAAAAAACTTGGTGAATTGTTTCAAATATATTTCTCTTGCTAGCACCCTGATAGATAAAAAAAGTAATGCAATATTTGCAAATACTCAATTGTTTCTTTTTCCATTCAGACTTGCAGTTGACAGGAATACAAATCACCTTATGTTTCACAGGAGGAGAACAGATTGTGGAAGGCACCAATCACTGATTATTAGCCATATCACTGATTATTCATTCTATACATTTGAATTCTAATTTTTTAGCTAAAATTCAGCATTTCAGTTGGCATCCTTGTGCTGTTTGGTGTGTTTGTTTACAACGACATTTTCTGGAGATTAGTGACAAAGGCAAAATCTTATCCTGATTGTTCTAATAAGGGAAAAGATTGCATATGAACCCTAGGGACTCAAAAATCAGACGAAAAATACAAGGAACAAAAATGTCATTTTGCTTTGCAATCCTATGATTCTTTTGAGACCTGACTCGTGGCTCTGCTATGCTAGGATTTGGCAATGATGATTGTACATTTCTTCCTCCCTATTCTCCATTCTGTGCTTCCCTGAAGTGTTTCCAGGAAAGAGCTTCTACTTTTCCACTTTTGGTTTGTCAGATCAGCTTTCCTGCCTACACCCCATTTTGGTGGCCACAGAGACCCCACATTTCTGTGTTCATCCTCACGATGCTGCTGGTAGGGGGGTGATCACAGCTACTGCAAGTGGAGCAGGGGCAGTGGGGCTGTGAGTATTGCACCCCCAGGCCAAGGGCTCCAGGGTGGGCTGGAGCAGGCATCCTCTGACAGCAAAGCATCCGAGTTCTCCTCTTGCTTGTAGTTGTCCTGAGCTCAGATAGCTCACAAGTCCCATCTGCACCTGTGGCAAGAGACATTTCTGTCTCACTCCAGGTGTTCTTGTCCACCTGATAAAGGTCACAAGATATGTTTGCACAGGCAAACAGGCAGAGGCTTCAGAGACACAGGGCCATGCACTGCATGGGAATAAGGGTGCCCTTGAGTGCACTTCAATGTGTTTGGGTGCATATAAAGTTCATCCCTGTGAGCACCAGCTGGGCTGGCCTAGAACATGCCCTGAAGGTACTTCTGCAGGCAAATCAGATGGATAGGAGGTGAATATGGCCTGGAGCCACGTCTCTGTGATACCACAGTGGAGTTGACCTCCAGAGACCAAGGGCTAGACTGATATTTAGGCTGGTATCTGGCTAATCTGACCTGGAATATTCTGAGATCATCAGAACCCCCTAAACAAGGTGTGCTTAGCTTGAGAGGTGCTTGGTGCAATTTGGCATTGATGATGACAAAAGTAAAGGCTATAATGCACCTACATTTTTGCTGTCAGCATGCATACAGTCCTTCCTCCTAAATGTCTCTGAGCTGCTGATACCTGCTTACTCAGTGCATTCACAGCTCCAAGTGTTTCCACCTTGCCATGCTATCTGAGACTACATCTTCTGCATTGCAACTGTCCCAAAACACCAGAAAACTAAAAAAACCCCAAACTAACAAAACCAAGCCCCCCCAAACCTCACACAGAGATGCCAGAAAATTAAATCCTGATTCCTCTGAGTCCAAACCCACTTCTCTTGTAAAAAGTGCACAATTCCATAGAGTAGAGGATACTCTGCAATGGGACTCAGCTCTCAGTTTCTATAAAGTACTTAATCATTCACTAGATGAGGGCTGGACTGTTCACCCCAGATTGCTGTTTTCTGGGCATGATCTCACACCAGGATGAGACAGTATGGTTTTTTCCTCTCTGGCCAAAGAAGCATTTAAAAGTTCTGTGCAAAGCAGTGCCATTGATACTGAGAGCCTGCATGGCTTTCTTGTTTAGGAGACAGAAGACCTGAAGTTAAATCCCTGCTCTGTCAGGCAGAAGAGAAGGTATCCAAACCTGAATCTTCCACCTCCAGGGTGAGTTCTCTTGCCACTGGGCTACTGGGCGTCATCTCTGCCACTATATCCTCCTCCTCCTCTTTCCGTGTACAGTCACTGACCTGGTTTACTTGCCTCTGATTGGAAGAAGGAATCTGTTTGCAGCCTGGAGTCAGGCACTGGAGCTTTAGGAGAAGTCTAACTTGCTACTCATGCCTCTCCTGGAATTTCCTAAGTCACGTTCAGCATCTTTGCACCCATGCTGCACAAGCATCTAAATCTCCTTGTGGGGCAAAAAAAGAACTTGTAAAAGATACTGGGTGCCTCCATGCCAAAGGGTGAGAATGAAACCTAGATATTACATATTAATCCCTCAGTGTTTTGCCTAAGCCACAAAGCATGTGTCTGTAAGTGGAGGGAACTGCTACTAGCAGTTCTCACAGATCCCATCAGAAACAGGACCATCTGGCTCTCTTCTCTCTCTGGAGATCCATCTCTATCTTTGATGCTTTCCTGTGCTCATCTGAGCAGATCCCCATGCCTGGATTGTTCCTTTGTAAGCCTTTGGGCAGGGTTTGTGTCTTCCTTTTTGTTCCATATTTGTACCACCATTATTACTATTGACATAACCTGATTTCAACAGGACCTGATGGACTCCTCTGGATATGTTGAAGTTCTTGCAGGATAGGGCCGTGGATAATAAGTGTATATGGCCACTTACTCACTTGAAGCTGGCTGATTACCACGTTCATCCTGTAATCTCTTGGCTGTCCCACATACCTTTATTTGGCAGAGGCAGAGCTGTTGTTAGCCAGTCAATATTGCCCCACACAATATCATAAATACAAGATTTCTCATGAAACTTCAGCATTTCTGTTTCTGAAGACAATCCTTAATCAACCCTCACAAACGAAAGGGCTACATTTCAACCCAAAGATTTCTGATGTGGCAAAGAAACCTAATGAGATGGGAGATAGGCTATGTAGGGTAGGGCTGTCTCTTAGGGAGGGGAGGATTGATGTCCCAGCGCCAAAAGCAATGATTTATTGAGTGAGCCATGGCTGCAGGGGCTGTGAATGATTGTATCCTCCATGGATTCATCATATGTCTTTAAGTACTGTTTGTGAAAGACATCTCAGGCAAAAGGAACTTGGTATTAAGACACCTAACTTCTGGCGGTATGTAGAGCAGGGGAGAGACAAAACTTCCCATGGCTTCCTCCTTAACATCTGTCATGATCAGGAGAGCCTAAAAGCAGTGTTCTGGAGGGTGGCTTTGTACTCCAAATACCAACTAAAATGAGAGTGGAAGAATTGGTTTGAGTAGATTTTCTCTTCCAGGGAGTGACAGATGATGAGTACTGATATACAAAATCAGTTTATTTTTTTTGTGCAATAACTGGAAGTCAAAACACACTGGTGGTCTGGAGACCAAAAGGCAGAACTGTTTGCCACAGGAAAGCCCATAGGATTGACGGTGGAAAATTTAAAGCAGATTTTGCAACTGGTAGTGAGACATAGTTACAAGTTTTTTTCACAAGCTTGAAATTGGCATGATGATTTTAATTTTTAAGGTCAGTTACCAAAATGCAATGCTGACTACTAAGCTTTCTTTCAAAACTAACAGGCATTTGGCAGGGAAAAAAACTGCTATAAAGATTTATGTCCTGTTTACTGCAATGCTAAAGGCAGAAATATCGGTTGTCCTTTTTCAGTGATGTTTTGGGAATGCCAGTCCTCTGCCTTACTGGCAGATGGTGTAGGTGAAAAGAGAGATGTTGGTGTTTGGCTCTGGATTTGCCATAGGTACTGACAAATATAAAATGTGTGGAAGTGTCTGGAGACAGTGAACAAAAGCCGGTGTCTCGTTGACTCGAAAACAGAGTAGGCAAGAAAAAAAAGTCAGAATTCTTGGAATTCATTTGCATGGTATCGGCCAGCAAAACAGATAAGATTTGGGCTATGCATGACAAATGGGACTTTTTGATATGCATGTTAACACCGCGTCGTGCTAAGTCGTTCTGAACTGCATACTATTC